AACCAACTGCTCAGTTCGGTGGCTCGCATACCGCTATTGGCAAGCAAACAAGTCCAAAGCGGTTGCTTCTGCGTGAACCCCAAACTGAGAGTATCAGGGCGATGTTGAAAATCAGCCAAAGCTCGCTCAATGAACAAGAACTTGACATTACGACACCCTTGAGACAAGAAACTGGAACTTAATACCTACTCTAAGAGTACACATAACGATGACAAAAGTAAACAAAACACTTGAAAAGTCGAACATGCAGTAAATCAGTTTTCTGTGAAAGTATAAAACGGTAGTTACGAAGTCAGTAATTCAATAAAAAGTAAACAAAACAACAATTAACACATGAAACTTGCACGACAGGAACTGATGTGGTTGAGCTTTATGGAAAAATGGAGGATGGGGAGAAGAAATTACGATTTACAAAACCCGAACTACTGAAGGGTGGAAATAAAACGACGAGAAATGTGATTTAGGAGGAAACCTGGTCGCAAGCACAAAAGGCCTGTGACTGGGAAGGTGGGTTGGGGGGAGGGGGGGGGGGCATGGCAGCCCATAATCGAGACGTATCTGGCACAATTATGGCAGTGCTTTTCATGACACCATCACGACGTGCAGTGGTGGTAATTCTTTAATATTCGCGTAAAAGTCACTGGGCCTTATTTCTGGTCCAATTAGAGAAGAGAAACAAATGACTGAAAGAAAAGATTCCAAAGATGGTCCGTTTCGCCCCTTCCTGAGCAGAACCATCGTTATTTGTCAACCCCGGGGCTCAATCCTTTGCACGTCGTCTGATGCCAAGCACTAACAATCATCACTGAACTATTGCTTGAACTACTATAACATGGTTCACAAGTCACACATCCAGCATCGGAAAAAAAACTATTTCGTGAAAAATTTAGGGCATGACTTGAGAAACAATGCTTACTCTTAAGAGAACAACCGCATGAACGCATTTTCACCCCTGAATTCTCTCGACGTATAGTAACTATGCTGTGATAGTAAAGGCTCCCGAAAAACAATTGGGGAAACGTTCCTCAGTCTAAAGACAGAAGCTCCTACATGGGCGCTCCCATGAAAACATACAAACATAAGGCAAATACAAACAAACAATACAAACGATACACTACTAGTGACCAGCTATTTAGTTAGACAGGTGGCGTTTTGTCGTTGTCCTTGTCCTTGAGTAAAGGCTGGCTCTCTGACAGATTCGTTGAAGATCCGTGAGGTGACGGTCGAATCACCTGAAGGATGTATTACAGCATGGAGTGCGTAATAAAATCCATATGTATGAATTCTGAGCCTTCGCATACATACCATTTTCATTTCAAATCGGAAATTTTTCGATCCGAATTGGACATTTTTCGGATCAAGTGGAACGGACCTCCTATACTGAGCAGTGGACAGCTGGACACACTTGGCACTCCTGCGAGTCCCGCCCCGAACCCTCCTCCCACTCACAGCGCTGTGACGGTTTCCAAAATTCATTTTTCCTCCGACTTTTTTGCACGTTTTCTACGTCACACAATCCAACTGAAAAGGATTGGTGCAAACACATTTACAACCCTGCCCACTTTTTGATGAAATAAGGTGAAATTTTTGAACTTCATCGCTTTCTTCGACGTCGTTCTATTCACAAAAATGCATCTATACACCGGCACTCTAAGCCCCGCCCCTCCAACCACGCCCACTTTAGAGTCTTTTTGTGGGATTTGGGTCCTCATCGAAATTCCCGCATTTTCAGGCCGCAACAGCTCCGCTTAGGATTAGATGCCCTGCCTTTTCGCAGACTCCGCCCACTTTTGAAAAATGGTCTGGCAGGCTATAGTCCGGACTGGCAGGATGTAGTCTCCCCGTCACCCGGAGTAAACTTTCGCTGGTTTTTCGTTTCGGGTGACAGGGACACTATAATATGCCAGTAAGCGAGTGTGTTGGGACGGGGCTTGCAGCAGCGTCTAGAGCAGCCCAGTTGTCGACTGTAAGGGATGTGTCCGGTTTGATTTGAAAAGTGTTCCAGTTGTTTTGGAAACTGCCCGATGTTTTGAAAAGTATCTGACTTGGGTTGAAAAGTGGTCGATTAGAAATGAAAATGGTATAAGTTGCTCACGGTAACCGATGCAATCATGGACAATCGGAGCTCAGTCTCAAAATCTCAGACGTTTTCAGATGACGCCTTTCTTTAGGTCGTATAATGCTTCCAAAGTCAATCGGAACCAGACGACGTTATAGCTCCAATAACACGACAACCCACGTACAGAGAATTTCAGCAAGAGTCAACTATTGTTCAAAAACTAGTTGTACCAACGAGTTGTTCATAAAAACCTTCAGGAACTAATGGCTTCCGCTGTCAAGAGGGGGCCCGAATGCGGCTGAACAAAGTCGACCATGGATAGTGGTCGTGAAAGGCAGAAACATATCACGTTGCCCATGAAATCAAGATGAGCCTTCTAAAAATCGCTCGAGAAAGCCGGAAACCATCGAGTAGAAACTGCTGTTGCCAGCATTGTAAATTTGGTTTGGTGTTTGTTTTGGCAGCGCTGAATGTCATCGGCTGCACATTGATCTGAGCAAGGAACTGTGCAGGTGCGCTTTGAACCACTACAGATATCGCAGAGGTACCCAAGGAGAAGCATGAGTATGAAAATGTAACTCAGATCATGCGCAGCGCAGGCCTTGCTCACATAGGCTACCATTCAGCTACATGTTCAAATTACCAGTTATTGATCACACATCGCAAAGCTAAACCGCTTCAACGAAAGCAAGGTAGCTAGTCTACTCCCGGGACTCCAAATACTCCTCTGTGATAACAGTTTAACTTTACGGCAATTTTCAACTTGCAGCCGGAAAATCTAGCGGTTGTCCATAATAGCAGCGGTGAATAGGAAGAAACGTTAGGATTATACGCCATGCGATTCATGCTAATGCATTCTTGAACAAGGTACAAAACGGGACCTTTTCCGCTGGCTGTAAGAAGCCTACAGCGCTCATTGGAGTACTTCTAAGAACATGAGGCAGTTAGGGAAACAAGTGGTCAGAAATATTATTCTGTTCATATAGCTCTGTCTATGTAGAAGACACAAACAATATTTCGCTATTATGGAATTCGAACATTAATGGGGTCGATCCTATAAGGTCCTAGGAGCAGCGCAATTCATTGAAGACACGCCCAGAACTCGAAAATATTGTTTTGCGGCTCAAATACTTATGGCAAGATAGTGAGTAACGCATAGGTGAAGGAAAAATTAAGAAAAACCCGCTCGCCCCGTGTAGAAAGAATATGTTGAATCGCGCTCGTCGTGCACATAGTGAAGAAAGGACGTGGTCGAACGAGTACTCACTTCTTAGTGCCAGCTCCTTCACCTTATCACGTCACTCTCATCATTCGAAATGGAGAGAGGTAAATGCGGAGCAACCGCATCATCAGCATCAATTAGAAAAGAAAGTGGGGCTCGGTCGTGGCCAGTGTACAGAACCCGGACAGAAAGTGTGCCTCAGTCGCAAGCGGATCGCGCTTTCCTCAAGTTATTTTTGAGTTGTGAAAATAGTACTTCTCCCATGACTGCGGATAGGACTACGTGCTTATAAGGCGTCTGCGCATCAAATGGAAGCAGGACGTGCCTTTGAGGTTTCTCGTTTCACAAATAAGAGGATAATTCGCATTCAAGCTGTAGCGTTAAAGCATCAGGCACACGAAAGTGGCCACTAACCGGTCTTCATGCAAGCAAAGAGCAAGCGAATCCACGGCTGTTCCTCATGATGCCTCTGAGATCAGGTGAACATGAGAACTGACACGATAGCATGCTTTGCTCCAAAAGCCAAAAGCTATACATTTTAGATGTTAAGTGCAGGTCAAAGCGCGATTACCCTTCACGGTTTTTGAGAGCACAGTTATCTTCATTTCACCGCAAGCTGTTTGTTCTTAATCGCATGTGTCATTGTGTCACTCTTTTGAAGCACCTTCCACTAAACTTCTCCTCAAAACAATCATGGACTTGAGGAGGGAGCCTCGGTTGAAGTGGTCGAGTAAAGAGACGTATATCACCTTTCTTGGACTCTTATTCCAAAGTTGCTTTTGAAGTTTGCAGAGCGATGTTCTGAACAAAGTTACGAATGTTCAACTCCACCCCCCCCCTAGATCTTTCTCATTTTTCAGGATAGCAGGTCTATTGAGCAGCTTAATAGTGGCCTATAAGTTAGGTGTAGGCTTCCAGGACTTGCGGATGTTGGAAATGTGACTGCTCTATCAAGCTCAGTCAATCGCCAATCAATTGTTTGCTTCCTGATGCATTTGAAATAACTCATTTTCAGCTGTAAGTTTCTGCTCGTGGGATGTGACTCAAGACCTTTTTTTGTAGAAAAATTGCATCATGAGGGATAGCCTCTGAACGGGCTGATCAGGCAGTAGGCTCATGCTAAGTCGTCCTCGCGCTAGCGCGACACAGTGCAAAATCCATTTCATGAGGAGGTGCATCGCCGGTCCACTCTCGCGCGCTACATAAATTAGCCTTAGGCCACGCGCGACAAAACTGCGCTATGCTAGAGGACGTAGTTCAGGAAATCCAAATCAGCGTGTCCCTTTCAGTTGACGTAACACACAGGGGCTTTGCCAAGCTCAATCAATCCGATCCTGGTGCGAATGTCGCGAATGTAATAACCTTTTATTTCGCCCATCTCGCCGCAGCTCAATGTGCTGACCTACACCCTACCACAGGTCTAGAACAGCGAACAGCCGTCTCGCACAAGGCGCGACATGGACAAACAAACACACGTGACTACGGCCAGTGACTGCGTAGATTTTGCACTGCGCTGCGTAGTAAGCGAAGAAAAGCGTGCAAGAAACCTGGCGGGTTGGTTAAATAGTTGGGTCGGGGAAGGGACTGACCAACATTCAAATCACTTCATGGTAATAGGGAGCGAGCACAAGGAGACTACTACCACCACTCAATACAATGTTTTCAACGACGTCGTCACTCGTAACTTTACCAACCGCGCTTACTGCTTTCTCAGCGAGTCTAGTTGTTTCCCATTGACTAAACTAATAACATGATCAAATGAGAGACAGCGAAAGAGGAAAAGTTTAAAACAGGAAATAAACCATGAATTAGACGGACCTTTATCATGATTGCATCCTCGTCTTCTTCAGGCGTTTCCAAAGGCGCCTCATTCGGCCTGAAACTACGGATTAACTCACGGATCACTTCATAGGCCCTAGTTGACTGCTTCGCAGGCTGAAGTAGCGC